TTCTAGTGCTAGTGCTAGTTCTTGTTCAGTGTCTGCCTTGAAAGCGTTCGTATCAATATATTATGTTTCTACGTAAAAAAAATGTTCGGATTATTTTTACATTTTACCTAACTTTCTTCTAAAAACACCCTTGTTTTTGAAGTTGTCAGCCTGATTACTCAAAAACTATTGCACTTATTTTATTGAAATTTTGCATACTTCTTCAAAATAAGATTGACTACTGATTTGCGGAAGGCTTTTCCTTTGTTTACGAATTTTTTGCCATTACGAATTATAGCTGTATTTGAAGATAAACAGCGATTTGTTATTTGGCAAAACGAATCTACTTCGTCAACAAAATACTGTCGACCAGTAAAAATAATTTTTCACAAAGAAATAAAGGAATTTGTCAAAAATAAAATTGAAAATATAAAAAACAAATAGATGAAGTAGTTTCTTCAATGACTACAGAATTTCAAGCAAATTCAATATCGTGTTATTCCTTCTTTTCTGTAACTATGATTGATGGTAAAATTTGTAACTGGTTCTCCGATACTCCTGGTTGAAGCTGTCATCTTTATTGAACTAAGAAGATAATTTGGAATATGGAATTTCAAGTTTTGATGCGTGGATAAAAACGTTTCAGTGCCATGACAAATGACAAGTCAGGGAAGAAGATAACGGAAAGGTAGAAACAAAGAAGAAAGAAATACAAGAAAAATTACGTCGTAACATGGCTCTTCTCGTTGATATGCTTAAGCCAAGTTTTGGAACAACCATTGACGGCAACACAGTCAAATGTTTTTCCAGAATTCCTGAATTACCTTCTGAAATTACAGGAGTAAATGAAGAATTTATAAAACGAATAAGTACCATTTTAATTACAATTTCCTATGGCTTCGTAATAAATAGCATACTATTTAAATCTTATTATATAGATATCGCAAAGATCTATGTTAATTTGTATCCTTGGTATTATATGCCACAAAGTTTGCATAAAATATTAATTCATGGTGCAGATTTAATTTAAATATATGAAATTATATTATTATTCTTTATGACTTCGGCTTCTATCTTTCAGAAAAAATAAAAAGGTACTTTCGCTGCCTTCATATACAGGTGTTTCTGTAAGTTGTGGCATAATTTTAATTACAAATACTAGAGTAAGAGTGATGACGATTTACGTGTAAAAGTTTTTGGTTTAAACCGATAAATAGCTAAGATGGGCCTTCAAAGTTAAGAAATTCTGTCGGGGATGCCGAATTTAGTAAAATCACTTAATAAATCAATAATTTGAAATTTTTTAATAAGAAAATCATTTTTCTTTTCATGAAGAAATTACCGTGGATTACGGAAGATTATTTTGTAGTAGTAGATAATAGATAAATAAATAAATAAACAAACGTGAAATGAACATCCAATTAACTGGTCGCCATGAAACAATTACCACAAAAGTAATGTTCGTCTCGCAATCGACATTTAAATTATTACTTTGAGAATCGCCCATGTTGTCTATAATATCGATTTACGGCTTGATTGATTGATATATTATTTTTTTATAACTGTTTGCTATATTATTGTACGTAATCGGGATGTAATAAAAAGTAAAACTTTTATTTTCCTATTTAAATTTTATTTTCTTTGCAATGAAACCAGTTGACCTAACATTAAATAGATAATAATAATCGCGTCATTAGCCGCACAAAGAGAAAAGATACGTCTATATCTTCACTTCAAGTGTCTAAGAAAAACGTAACCCCTTTCTGGTAAAATATCTTAAAGGGAATTTTTAGTATATATGCCTGTATTTTTTAAGACACCACCCAGCTTAAGAAATAAGAAGTCAAGTAAATAAAGGAGCAGTACTGTTGGGATACTTAAGGGACACAGTTTGGTGAATATGTGCTAATAGATAGCAAGCCAACAATTTATAAAATCTGCATAAGGCCCTTTATGATCGACGATATAGAACCCCGTGAAGATACTAGCAAGTCAAAAATCGAAAAGATATAGAACGTTGTGCGAAGGGGAAAACAGCGAAAAAATTTATGTTTCTCTTTTCTATCAAATTTGTGTCATTAAAGAATTGTACGTTTATCAAACATACTAAATCTGCGTTTTTATCAGTATTAGCAACCATTATAGAATTAGTTTTAAACTTACTTAAAGTTTTAGTTTCCTCCCAGTTGAATTTAAACTTAACATTAGGAGGAATCATAAGATCATATCTCAAACCGTCTTCTCCCCGACTGCACATACCAGATCTATTGCCAATTTCGGTAGATTAACTTGTATCGATGATATAATGTATTTGTTAAGCAGGTTCAGTTCTTTTTGATTAAATTTTGATTATCTTCGGCTGGAATTTGTGTGGACAAGTTATGTTAGTTTATTTTTGGGAAGATTCATATTTTTTGATTCTTAGTTTGTTTAGTTTTTTATTTTTAATTGTTCAATCATCATCCGTAATTCTATATATTGCTGAATTTGATTTTTAAGTTAATTTCTTGTAAGTCTGGATCAAATCTATAGTACCATTACTATTTAGTAAATTGTAAATATACTCTATATGGTGTTTATTGTTATACTGTGCAACAAATTGATTGCTATTTTCGATTGCGCTCTATTAACATTTGTGACTTAATTCGTCTTCTTCAAATCTGTAAATATTCAAGTGCAAATAATAATATATGATCGTTATTAATAAATTTCAAACGATTCTTTTTTTAATTACGGTTACAATCCAATTATAGAAAACATAAACCGCTTTGTATTCCTTAAACAAATAATATTCACTCCGCCATTATGTCTTTATTTTGTGAATATAAATAATTACCTTAGCTACTGATATGTGTGACATTTGACCAAATAATGGGACTTCAATAATTAGTGGATGTTGGCTCATACACATCAATATTACACAATATTTTCGTGTTAAAACATCAGAATCGAACCAATTTAGATCATAAAACGCGTCGATAACACTAGCCGCCTATTAAAAATAAAAAAATAAGCCATGTTACGCATTCTATAACAAATTCATTATTTAATATAACAATATCAAAAATTCATTCATACCGCTGTAGTAAATCTTTGTCCAACTGTATGGATGAAAAATAACCCTAAAATATTCCAAATAATCATCCAGCAAGATGTTAAATTCTTTTCCTAAAAATATTTCACAGTTAATTAATTGAAATTGTCATATAAAATATCAAACCAGAACAAATTTAGTAGTAGCCATTGTTAAACAAACGAAAATGCAGCCTTTTGTAGGGACGAGAAAATTGGTAAAGAACCTATTAACGCATTTATACATCCTAAAACCACAATACATCGTGTATATTAACCAGGTAACTATTGTGTTAAATAAATAAATTACCTGAATATGTCTTGATAATATAAGGCAATTGGCCGCAGAATCTTTAAATTTCTTCTTTTATTTCTGGTCAAATGTATGTTATCAATCATGTCTTTAAGGTGTTCTACTCGTATAGTTAATAATTCCAATGAATAGCCGTACAAGACCAACGCAAAAAGTATAATATGTAATGAAGCAGCCAAAGTATATATTTGAAATAGCATTATTAATGTTGTTTCGTACTGCTTCAAATTACATGGAACGAAATATTCTATAGCAAAACAAATTTTAGTGTTCATAACATGAGTGCAATCATTTTTCAAGATAATATAATATGCTACAATATATCCCACAAAACCTCCTGCGTAATGAATCGTTTTTAGTACGGTTTTAATATTTTCTTCAATAAATTTCATTCTTTCAGGGACACCGACTGAATTAAAATCACTTAATAAATCAATCATTTCGAACAAACCACATTGATTTAGTAATAATTGAATGTTATCAATTAGAATTGCTACACCCATTGCAATAAATTCCCAATGAAACAGTATGTTTGAAATATTCGTCTTGTAATCTAAAGTAATTGATGAGATGATATCAAAACATAATATAAAACATCTGACACTCACCTTTAAATTCTCTTATGCAGGGATAAAATATCCAAATGAAATTTACAACAATCAAAATTAATGACCGGAATCTTCGCAACCTATGGGACGTGGGCCATACATAATTGTTCCTCAAATTTTTTTCTAAAAGGTAAAAACCGCTTGTTTTCGACATTTTGAACACTACTATGTTTAAAGAACGAAATTGATCGAATACATTAAAATCAATATTAAGACTTAAATAAAGTTATCATTCTCTTAATTAAGAAATTAACATGGATTACGAAAGATTTTTTATATTATTATTCACTCAAAATTTACTTAAACTCAGTGAATAACCGTGAAATTAACATCCAATTAACTGTTCGCTACGCAACAAAACTGAAAAATTAATGTTCGTCTTGCATCGACATTTAAATTATTATTGTTGCGCAGAAGCGCTTTGAGTATACAAGCATGCGCTTCCTGTTTGTGAATCTCCCGTGTTGTCTATAGTATCGATTTACTATGGTTGATTTATGTATTATTTTTTATTATTACTTGTAACATTATACATGGAAAAAACACTGACATATTTTAGCTTCTCATGAATAACATATGAGGGGCTGAAATGTTTGATAAATAGGTTTCGGAGGCTGGCTAAAATATACCAACAAATTTTACCACCACGACTAGAACTTATTGGTTAAAGGAGGATGACCCCTACAGAAGAGTTCCTAGCCTTCCAGGTTAAAGGTTGAGTATGGTGTTAACACCCCACTCATAAAAAATATTATTTTTACGAAAACTAAATTACAAAAAACCAGGTGAATCTCAGGCAAACGGAAATTGGACCTAAGAGTAGGAACATGGAACAAAATAAATGGAAGTAAGATGGAAGGAGTACAATAGAGTAAAGGAGTCATACAGCATGAACTACATCAGGAATGATCTAGGTATCACTTCTAACACTCACACTACCTTGATGTATATCGATTGTTATTTCATGTAAACTTACTCAGTTTCCTAACAGTTAACTCAGATTTACGATCATAAATAAAATTCTTGAATGACGATGAAAATTCTTTTATTAAATTGGTTCGGTGCTACATGTTTCGACAATAATTTGTCTTCATCGGGCACGACTAAGAATAGTAAACAAAGAGAGAAAAGACATGTCAAAAAATAATAATAATTAAAATATTATGATACTAAACATAACCAACTTAACTGTTATGATACTAAACACTACTAACAAAACAAATATTTACCGTCAAATTGGAAGAATACGTGGTTGAGTTGAAAGGAAAGTCCGGCCAAAGTGCAAAAACCATCAAAACCCACATCGGTGAATCATTACGGTAAAAACAAAAAACAAAGGGTGACTTAAATTAAGTAACGGGAAATATGAAAAGGAATAAGTAATTAATATTGTAGGGTGGTGAAAGGATGATTTTAAAATATAGAGTTTAGGCAGAAACAGAAATCTGAAAAATAACCCGAAAAAGAAGTTTGAGAAATAAAAGAATGAGCAGATGGTGACTTACGTCAAAAGTGGTTTTGGGAACCTCAATGAAAAAACCGGAGAATGTGAAAAGAAACCCCAAAAAAGGGTGAAATGTTCTTCGAGTAACGAGAACTGGAAAAGTAAACAAAGAAAAAATTGACAATCAAAAAAGTTGATAATTAAAAAAGAAAAAGGAGGCGAAACTTACGGAGAAACACAAAGGTGAATTTGAGTCGGTCTTAACAGTTCACATATTTTCGTTGGACTGAGGGTAAGAAAATGAAACCAAGTTGAGCATGCGTAACAGGTGGAATGTAAGAAAAATGGGGGCGGGGCGGTGAGAGTAAAATATTTAAAACTATTTTTAAAAATATTTTCAAAAAACATTATAGTTGAAATAAGGGAGAAAAAGTTTTACAAAAATGATAAAAATTGTCTGAATGGATTTTGATCAATATTTTCGTTCATAAGGGAACCGCTGCTATTAGCATTAATATAATATTCTTCGTATAAATCCATCTCACGTGATTTACAAACTTTCTTAGTTAACTTAACATTATCTATGGAAATCTTGTGTTTAGATTCTTCCATGTGTTTGAAAACTGCGGAAGTTTTCTTGGAGGAGTGTTCTTTAAATCTAACCTTAATGTTGCGACCTGTCTGTCCGATGTACATTAAATCACATTCTGGACAATGATCATAAATTGATAGGTAAATTGGTTACCATTCTATCTGTCTAATCTATTTATAGTAAACTTGACCTGTCGGCAGTGGAGCTCGTTTTGCCAAATACTATGCTAGTCAATTCGGCAGTTCTTCCACTAATTGTAAGTTGGAAACACCACAATTCATGCAGTTTTCTTTTCCATTTCTTTCCAATGTTACGCCGAACTTTTTTCAGCTCCTTCTTCACAGTCAATTGCTCTTCGGAGGTTAAGTTAAGTTAAATTTATCGTAAATAGCCTTATTTATTTAAAGTTTAGTTATTTATTATTTAAGTAAAAGATTTTACTCGCCAGTACACACACACTACACGGGTACTGTTTGAGGACACTTTGGTATAATTACGTNTGTAAATAAAACTTACAAGTTCTCAGAGCCAACTTTTAGAATAATTTTAGCTAAACATGGTGGCACATAGCCGAAAGAATAGAAAATTTCTTAATTTTGAAGGCACATATCTTAGCCATTTATGGGTTTAATTCAAAAATTTTTACATGAATCGTCATCATTTTCACTCTAGTATTTGTGATTAAAATTATGCCACGAATTACAGAAACATCCTGCATAGTATACAATTATGTTTTGAAGTAATAACTGTTATATATCACTTTATTTGTTTGAAAGTGTGTCAATAAATCTTATAGAGTTTATTTAGTGTCGTCAAAATTTTCGATTTTTGTAATTCTTCGTCCATTCTGATCACATGTCTTGTTAGTTGTGCATTGGATCTTTACATTGTCATTTGTAATCATCCCCAAACCATATCTGCTTGCGAAGCGGTGACTAATACCAGAAACGGGACGTGACTTAGGAATGTGGATGCCGACCTGGAACATGCCCACCCTCCATAAAGCTGGTGCGCTGAGAAATCTTGTCGTGCAATTCCAAAAGTATGAGGTCGCATTGAGTGGCGGCATTGAAAGAAGTAATATGGAGAGGTATAATGAAGACAAAGGGCTATACAATTTCCAAGTACACTGGGAACAGAAATTGCAGTCAATAACGAATTGGTGGGCGAAGTTAGTGATTTCAAGGTAGTAACTGAGCGCTTATGCAAGATAAGAATGAGATTCAAATTATTCATTCCAATACTTCTTTGTGTGTATACTCCAACTGAGGAGGTAACTGGAACGGGCCTTTTCGAAAACAGGTAAAAACTCCAAATTTAATATCGTGCTATATACCTTTGTTATTAGAATAGAATATTTCTCCATTGAATTATGCCCCTGAAGATGACTAAGTTGTAGTCGAAACATGTAATGATGCCGATTTTTTTTTTAGAACAATAAGAATCAAAGAGTTCGAGGAAATAATCAAAGCTGGAAACAGACCATACTTTAGCCTCCATCACCTGTTTAGGTTATGACTACTGCATAGAAATACAAAGAAACTTAGTTATAGAACACTCTTAGCATCCAGTGATTATATAGGTCTGCGAGTCATGGGTACGACTGAGAAGAACAACCGACGCCTGGATACATGGGAGACAAAAATTCTTAGGCATATTTATGGTCCTTTTCTGGATGGTGATTTGTCGCGGATCCGCAGAAACGCGGAAGTATACCAATTACATGATGAACAACCTGTTACAATCGAAGTAAGGAAGAAAAATTAAAAATCAAGTTAACGATGATATAATTTTATTATTTGCAATTGGTGCTACAATGTTTCGACAGCTTAGCTGTCTTCTTCAGGCACGACTAAAACGTAAAAGAGAAGGTGAAGAACATCAAAATCAAAATAAAGGACAAGAAAATAATTATCGTCAGATATGTAAGGACCTTGTGAAATTTATAATGTTGAAACGATTTACTTAAAGTCACACAGTCAAAAAACATCAAAATATTGAACAAGTACTAGGTTATGTCTAAAGAAGAGGATGGTCACAGAATTTATAGCGGGGTCTCATCCTCGAGATAACGTTGTTTCTTCAATTCAACTTCAACTCTTTCAAATCAAGGTCTTAAATAGAGACAAAAAACAAAATAATTGAAAGGAACAAATATTAAAATATTAAAATAGTATCACAAAACTTACAATTATCAACGAGAACTCGAACATAGAAGGACGCCGTCATTCGTTGTAAAGATGGCCGTGTGGAAAAACCGGTTGTATTTCCAGATTAAAACTTAAATTTTAATATTATTTATCTTTCTAGAGTAAACGCTACGTCGGCGAATGTAGACTAAAAAATTTTTTATTAAATTAAAATGTAGATGTTGTAACATAGTTAAACGCTTAAAACTTACAGTTAACAGAGCTTGTTTTACAGGTGAGAATGAGTAAAGAGACGTCTTCAGTCTGTAGTAGCAGCGGATCGAGAAGGAAATGGTCTGGTGTTCGGTATGCAAATAGGTGTCTTAGGGTGGCGCAAGCGCAAGGTATAGGTCGAGGTAGGCAACAGTTAAGCGGGAGAAGAATGGGCGATTTAATAACTTACATCTCGACACTTACATAAACTTCAAGAAACATCTCTGTGGGTTGATATCTATGACATCGTTCATTATGAGATGCTTGTTATCATTCATATGTTTACTAATGTAGAATTCTTCATACAAATCTAGTTCCCTTGATTTCTTTAAGTTTTTTAAGAGGGTAACGTTGTTTAGATCAGTGTTGTGTTTAAATTCATTTAAGTGTTTGAAAACTGCTGAAGTATTTTTAGTTTTATGCTCTTTAAGGCGGGTTTTCAGGTTTCTCCCTATTTGGCCTATGTAAAATTTATCACAATTATCGCAGTTTATTCTATAAACTCCGCCCAGTTCCTCTTTTTTAAATTTATGTTTGTTGTTTATTAAGTATGAGCTTATTTTGTTATTTGAAACAAAGGCCGGGGAGATGTCGAATTTTTGTAGGTTGAGTTTTATTTTAAATTGAGCGGATAGTACGAATGGTAATGTTACGAATTTTGGTCTCTGTTTGTAAGTTGGAAAAATAATCCTGTTGATGTATGAAGAATGTGTCCTGTTGTATATTTCTTGCATTTGCTCAACAGTGTAGTTATTGTTTAAGCCGATGGTGATAATCCTCCTGATCTCCTTGGCGAAGTCTAACTCATTAAGGGGAACATGCTCAATTCTATCGAAAAAGAACCGCATACTGGCTTTTTTATGTTGTGAACAATTATATGAACCGGAGGGGATGACAGTATCGGTTGTAGTCTTCTTTCTAAAAATGTCAAAATCCAGTTTGTTGTTATGGGTATTTCTTTTTATGGTCAGGTCTAGAAAATTGAGACCAATATCGCTTTCGACTTCTGTGGTGCATTCAAGTTTTGAAATATTATTGAAAACGGAGTTTAGTGCTTTAAGTTTAGCTTTATTTCCATTATAGACAACAAAGATATCATCCACATATCGGCAGTAAAATGATATGTCAGAAGTGAATAGTCTGTAAGGGTTGGAAAAAAGTTGGATCTCGAAGTGGTTAACAAAGATATCCGACAGTATTCCGGATATTGGCGAACCCATCGGAAGACCGTCCGTCATCTTGTAATATTTGTCATTGAATATAAAGAAGTTTTGTCTATTCAAGATTCAAGTCTATTTGAGATTGAATTAAGTGTTGCCTTATTATCTTCATGGTTTCATTAATTGGTACGTTCGAATAAAGGTTCTTTATATCGAAAGACAAGAGTTTACTATTTTTACTTGTCTCAAAATTTTTCAGCTTATTGATAAGGTCTTTAGAGCTCTTAATGGTATGTTGAAAATGATCATGAAATACATCGTATAAAAATCTATGAATGAGTTTGGCAACTCTATTAGTGGGAGTATCATTGTTGGAGATAATGGGTCGAATACTTTTCTCCTCCTTGTGTAATTTTACTAGACTCTTCAGTGTCGGGATTAGTGGGTTCATAACAATTGAATTGTATGAGGTAATATTAAATTTGGTCAGGAAAGGTTCTTTCTCTTTAATCAGTTTCTTAAGTGAATTATTGAAGGTTGTGGTGGGATTTTTCTTGATTTCGTGTATGTCATTCTCTTGAAAAAATTTCATGGTTTTGTTTATATAGATACTTTTATCCATTATCACATAACCAGCATTTTTGTCACCTAAGGTCACTATGAGATTTTCCCTAGAAATTTTATTTTTTAGTATTTTGACTTTATTCAACAGGTCAAGGTTCTGTTTATTCAATTTGTTATGGTTTTCTATGTTTTTTTATGAGGTCATGGTTTTCAAAAAATATTTGCTTGATATTAGGGTCAGAACTAAGTTGTGACTCCAATTTTATTGCGATATCGATGGGTTTTGTTGAATGGGGTAAGGAATATTTGTGTCCTAAATTGAGGATCTCTATGTCATCATCTGATAATTCGACATTGCTTAGGTTAGTATACCTGGGAGCAAATTTTGGGGTTTCAGGGACATTAAGATCAATTCTTTGGACTGGATTATTTATGTTAAGTCTTTTAACAATGAAATAACTTTGAACTTCATTATGATGTTCCGCTACTAGACCTTGGTTATTGTGAATCTCATCAATATTAGTAACAGACTCTAGGTTATTTGACTTATTAA